CACGCGCGCGCGCGCACACACACACACACACACACACACACACACACACACACACACACACACACACACACACACACACACACACAAAGTTACTGCTGTCCCATATTTGCAAAGACATGATTCTCGACTGGGCATTCACGACGAAACACATTTAATGACGTGCTCACCGTGCATGGAGAGTTTCTTAGAGGAGGTGGAAAGAGAGGACTTCTTAGTAGTGCTGAGCGATGCCGGCCTTTGAACTGGTTCCCCTCCAAACTGAGTGTTGCACCTTTTCAACAAAAACACATTCTATTCAGTGCAAAACATCAAAAATCGAACATTTTAGATTTGTCAAAAATTGCATGATAGTTTTGACTCATAACCTCCCCCCAATATAAATACAAAACCTAAAGTCTGTATTGCAAAATAGCGTTATTCATAATTCTAACAGAATTTGATACCAAGCATTGCAAGAAATTATAATTCTATTTCCATAATTTCCTTATTGGAACTATAAGATAACCGAAATAAGCAGCATGAAAACCAGGATTGTAAAAGTTCATCAACTATGCATGGTTTGAACTTGAATAAATTGAATGTTCGAGCTCTTTTCTCCACTAGGAACTCTGAGAGATAACTTCTGAAATCAGAGTTCTTGGTTATTTCACATTTGACCTGGCAACTTAATATGTGGTCCAAATTCTGCAGTATCATGTTTTTCTTTCCTAAAGTATCTAAGACCAATTTCAACCACGCAGTTAAGTTTGTTCTGGTTCGGTAAACTTTAAAAGCAGTCGTTGGGAAAAGATATAAAAATAGATGCATATGATAGCTCTTTACGGCACCACACTAGTTCTGTACTAACAAGCGTGTTCAAGTTCTTTATGGGCGCAGACGTTTTAAAGTCCATTATTTGGGAATTGAGCTCCAATATTTACAATTCAGTGACAGACTACATGCAGCATGTTTACGTGCATAGTTATAGCAATGGCTCAACTAAGGGCGTGCTAATACAGAGCAATTTCCGACGCGCTTTAGCCAACACCTAAAGACCAGTACCTTTGGCTAGTGTGAGCGTGCTGATCTATACTCATGTTTGGTGCACTTGGAAGAGGTGAGTTATCCGGCATGACTGGTCATGCACGCAGAGGCGGAACGCAGACGTCTCATATAATTCATCTAATGCAATCTTTCCTTGCAAGCTAATAATGACCACCTTATACATTATTGAGGTATACTTCACCTCCAATCGTTGGACGGTCATGCATGAGTACACACACCTACATGGTTTGCACTTTTACATTTATTCATGATACTGCCACCGCACACAATATCAATGAACAGACCTACTAGAAATAATCCGGCCAAAATCCAACACATACGTGAGCACACGCCATGATTCTCTGGCTAGTTATAAATGGTGACAGCCACCGTGCACAATAGAAATAAAGAAGTTAATGGAAAAAGTGTGTACAAGCAAAGATATTAAATCGGACAAATTCTGGTATCGAACACCAGTGAACAGTAGGGGAAAGAAATCAATAGCTGTTGGATGCATACTCTACTTTGGGCATCTTAGTATTGGGTTTTTTAGTGCTTGACTTGCTCTGCGTGTAAATAACAGCGTGTCGTATATTCAAGAGTGTGCCTTTGGGACAAAAAAAAAGGTCATATGATCTGAACCGTATACTTAGAATCATGGACGTTATTTTGTTGACAACTGTACGTGTGCTTGACGTAAACACTGGAACATCTTCATTTTTGTGCTGGGGCAAGTCAAGTTTACAATGCTTGGGAATTTAGCAGAACGCGTTGCACCTCGATGGGCATTCTGGCGGACCGAAGGCGCTTCCTATACACTCCCCAGGTACACCTGACAATTTGGTGACGGAAAGTAGAATAGACTTTAGACCAGGTGAAACCAGGTCTAAGTTGTGGTCCAGGTAGGGTCACATGATTTGGGTGGATTTGATCAAGGCACAGCCAGACAGCGGATGTGTGTTGTGGATGCTATCGCATTTCATTCATGCAATTTATGTTATATTTAATATGACAGCAGTGTGCATCGAACTGGTGTGTGTGTGTGTGGGAGGGGCGGGGTTGGAGGGTGGTGTCACGCACAGACGCACGATCAATGGTGGAGAGCTTCACAATGACCAAATTTACATCATCCACAAGGGGAGATCTTGCACTTCTTTATAAATATACTTTGTGTGAGCTGATCTCCGCCATGTCGACTGCCCACCTCACCTAAACTGAAAATAAAGGCAATGAGGGGAGTCACTTCGATTGGTGTATTCACTCACAACGGTGCAGATAGAAATTTCTATCTCCGCCTCATATGAAAATGATGACAAAATAAAGAAACCTCCACCCATGCTCACAGCTAGACGACACTGCGAATGAAAACAAGGTCCTTGGTTTTCGACTATGAAAAAAAGGATCATAACAAATCATGACTTCAATAAATAATGTTTGGGCCACCTGAGGATGGGCAGTTCTTTCTAGTGGCCTTGGCTGAATACTGGAGTCTTCTCAAGGGGACACCCATCATGGACTGCCAACTGCACTCGTCTTCTTCAAAAGAGCAGTAGCTGCCATTGAGGAAGCGACCTGCAGAGACACAGGAGAGAGATTATTTAAGGGCAAGACAGCAATAATAATAATAAATAGCCAGGCCGTATATAATGAGTAGATAGGCCCAGTAGGGGGGAGAGATAAAGACATACTGTCACGGAGGAGGGGAAGACTTGTGGGGCGGCATGGCTTAGAGTTCAAACCTCAATCCCTGTGACCACGTCAAAATGTCCTTGAGCAAGACGCCGAACCCTAATTCGCTCCCAGTGACCAGGCTGCGCTCTGCGTGGCAGCAGTTCTCCTATTGATGTATGAATGTGAATGTGAGGCTTTGTAAAGCGCTTTGAACATCAGGTGGTGTCGAAAAAGGGCTATATAAGTAGAGTCTATTTGTCATCGACGTGAGCCACAGTGAATATGTGATTGTGCAAGTTAAGGGTGCATTATTATAGTCCAGGTGAGTCATTGTGTTGGTCAAATGTGTGTAGATGTGTGAGGTGGAAGCTGAAACTGCTCAAAAAAGAAGTAGAAAATTGAAAAGGCCCACCTTCCGAAGACAGGAAAAGAGCGACGAGGGAAAATTGAGGAGAAATGAGGGTGCTCAGGTTGTGTGTTTTGGGGGTGGATGACATGTGGCTCTGAAGCATTTTTGGCAGCTTACCACTGGGATATTTTAGTGACCAGAGCAGCCCGTCAAACGCATCCCTTTGGAACCATACGAGGAGGTGAATGTGTATTCTGTCTTGCCTCATTTCCACAATGCCATCATGGAAAAGTGCAAACTCTTTTATTTCTAACAAGATTTTCCCCTCCCTTGTTTGTCTAAGTAATTGACTGCATAAATCACATACAACTTAGATAGGGCAAATGTTATAAGAGCCATTGTCAAAGGCCTTTCTTTGATTGATCCGCCCCCCCCATTTTTTCACTTACACAATCCTTTTCTGGCCCATCTTCAGATAAGAGAGTGGAGAACTGATGCATGACAAGCCGAAGCAGCTGACTCAGATGGCTACTAAAGTGCTCTAATGTGATGAAATGCAATGCTGACATTTTGCTTTTTGAAACCCAGGTATGACTCCAGGCTTTTGTTTTCTGTTTTGGTAGTTGTTTTTTTTGAGGGGGGGGGGACAAAGTGAGGGGTGGAGGGTGATTTTGTCCTTCTTTTGATTTTTTTTTTCTGCTTAGAACCTTGATGTTCCTGTAATATTGAGTGACTGTAAGTGCCCATTATCTGTAAAAATATGTTGTGTTGTGATGAAAGTGTACTTTAAGGTGATAGCATCATCAAGAAAATGGCGCAAAAACAAGACTTGCCCATGGATCATAGTGCTGGTAATAAGCAACAGAAAGTAAAAAAGAAAATGTCCTTTACCTAAACGTCTCTAAATCTTAAATTCATTAACAAAAAAACAAAAACAAAAACATAGCTTTCACTGTGATTGCTGGAAGCTGTGCGCTCTAACAATAAGACTAACATTGTTAAATTAAAGATCGCCATTCTTACCTAAAGGCAGAATATTTGATACAGCTCTTGTATTGAATATACTGTATCGTGTAATATACTTGGTCACAATAGTGTGGCTGGCTGGTGGATGTGTTTTTTTGTGCCATGTCTATCTTGTTCTATGCCCTAATGAGTGTTACAGTTACAGGGAGGATTTTGCCCCAAAATCCATGTTTTCTATGGAGAATATCCCTTTTTTGGGTGGGGGGGGGGGGGTTAAAAAGGGGGCGTATGCAACAAATTACTTTGCAGTAGTATAGATTAATATCCATTGACATGTCAAGTGAAATCACAGCTGAAACATCCTTTGAGTTAGGTGGCCACACACATACTGTATATACGCTAGTTCTGTGAATACATTTCATTCATTTCTAAGTTATGCTACGAGGTGGTTCTTGAGATATGAAGCAAGTCCCAACCCCCCATTACTTTTGTGCAGTCAGAGCATCAATTTTCTTCCGCTTAATTTAGTTCACATCAATACTAGCAGAGGGTTACTACCGGAGTCAAAGTGTGATTGCATATTAGTTTGTTACACAACGACTATCTAAAATTACCACATCAGTCACTTATTTTCATCATTCATTTCCATGCCCTCACATTCAGACATCACAGTTACAAAATCACCTTGAGCTCAGAATAAGCACTCTATGCCTTCCTTTCAAAATGAAGATCTTTCTATTTTGGTACGTGAGAGAAATTCTTGATGTCCAAACATAATTGACAAAAGGTCAAAAGATCCTCAATTCAGCTGAAGATGCATGAACCTATCGTTAAAAGGTTCTTATGTGCATGTGGGAATTGCTCTTCTTCTTTTTTTTTTTTAACCTGGGTTTCCAATCAGTGGGGTCACAATCCAGAATTGGCCATGGGCAGCACGTCAAAACTGGAATCATTTCCGACACAAATGCACAAATTTCCTTTTGAAAAATGTTTGCTTTTAAAAGGCATGTGTGCACAGCAGTCTCGGGTAGGCGTGGGTACACGCAGACCGACAGCGGAGCATTTTCACTTCATTGGAACCCAAGTCAGCATAGGCCCGATGAGCATTATCCTGCAATGTGGGATTTAGATTTATTTTATTTATTTAGGTTTTTTTTTTTTTCCCTCCCCTCCTCTTTGGTCTACTTAGAAGACAGTTGCGGCCGACAGCCGTAGATGTTGAACCTGTTCATCTTTTCTGACAAATCCTTTCCTTTCTTGCAAATCCTGGTCAAAGCCAACTTCAGCCCGGACACATAGCTTTGGATTGTGACATGAAACATAACGATAGAAAATCAGCGGTTGGTTTCCAACATCAAACCTGCTATCTGCTGGATGCACACGGGACCAACTGGTTGTTGGAGAACTTGTATAATGTGTCTGACAGAAAGTACCTGTAAACTGTCTTTGAGTCAAAGTACAAGCCTTTCAACAGAAAATAATTTGGGTTGAAGTTAAAGTCTCCTCTTCTTTACTTTATGAAAGTCATGAGTTGCAGTTACTCATTACATTCTCCCAAAAGTTAGTCATTGAAATACTGTATGATAAAAGTAACTAGTTACCAGTCATAACTATTTGCACTACTCTAAAATAAGTGCTTTATAGCAACTCATTTAGATTTTTTGGTGGGTTCTGAATGTGGAGGTGGGATTTGGCTGCATCTGCTCTGTGAGACAGACATCTGTTCGCCATTCCAAAAATTCTGACTGAATCTTGACTGACTTTAGCGTGCTTCAAAAACTTGAAGAATTTAAAAGTGGCCCTTTCATTTTCTGTATGCGTCCCAAAAACAAAAATTGGACACCCCTGCACTTTAGCATTGTGGACATAATCAAGTAGTAATTATACATAAAAAAGCTTACACGTACAATACATTGGTTGCTTCTGAAAACTATTTTAGAAAAAGTCGTGCCCCAAGGTGAGATGAATGAAAACAATGTTCTCAACATCATTCATGGGACGGCAATATTTCACTCTCTTCAAGAAAGTTTTCTCATTTGTCTTAATTGTAGATTAAATTTCAACAAAATATTATCCTGCAATAGAAAAAGGTTGCGTCGGCAGTGAATGTGTGCAGTATACTGAATAGGTCATCATTTCTTTAGAAGGTGGGGGGATGTTCTGGCTACCGTGTGTATTTGTGTGCCGCCAGATTTTTATTTTTTTGTATGACACAAACCACCGAGCCTTGCAGACTAGCACTAATACAAAATGCTTCATATTCACAATGTCTGCGCTCACCTTTCCCTTTGTCTTCTTACAAATAAGCATGCAGATGTTGACATCTGCGACATTTTCAAGAATTCCTCTGCCTTATTAGTGAGCATGAGCGGAACAACAGCTGAATGAAAAGAAACGGTTCAAAGCCAACGGCCTCGCAGTCTAATAAGTAAAATCTGGGATAAGGAGAAACCTTGCAGATTGCCACTTAAATCACATGCTTGCATTCCCTTTGATGGAAGCAGTATTCCTCTGTAGTTGGATGAAATATGCTGAAAAGCAGTAGGGTGTCGGCAGAATTTCGATTGACGAAGATCAACCGGAGGAAGCTGTGGCTGAAAGAAGGGAGAATGCATGTATGCGTAATGATGCCGAGGGTGGATCACGTATAGACTAAATTGCACCTCGATGTCAAAAGTCTTTGTGATTGACACAAACTGGGATCGTTGCTCGTGACTCCTCCACCACCTTTTCCTCTTAATTAGCCTCGGCGTAGCTTATGAGAGATTTAAATAGATCAAATCAGGAAATTCACCGACAGATCAGAGAGAATAGGGTATGGGGGGGGGCAGTGTGATTTGCATTGTGAGGTGTTGTGGTTAGTGATGGGGTATGAAAATAAAAGACCCAACAAGGAGTCTTATCCAGTCGTCACCTGTCTGTGTCACACTGATACACTGACTTTTGGATCACTTCTGTTTGCCCTTAGTAGGATAAAGGTTGCTACTATTTTAGGAACGGATGGATGGGCCGTGAGAAAATGGTGAGTCAAAGCAAATGACAGCAGAACTTGATGTGTGTGTGTGTGTGTGTGTGTGTGTGTGTGTGTGTGTGTGCGCACTCCCTTCTGAAAGACGAAGGCAAAGAGAAGGTGAGCGGAGATTTTGTGAAACCATTTCCCAGTTGATTTACATTGAAAAATGTGCAAGGCACACTGGCTTGCCATTTAAATTGAAGAATTCGTGTTTTTCACACACACGCGCACACACACACACACACACACACACACACACACACACGCATATGCGCGCACACGAAACCACTAGGTACACTTTTACAATCAAATACAAGATCTGATCAAAAATGTGTCTACAACTACAGCCAATATGTTGATAATTTTGACCATCATTTGAAGTGGTGCAACGAGAGGGTGTTTCTAATATTTTGCTCATCTGCTTGAGTACAAATATCTATCTATGTATGACAAATAAATAACTTTGTCCGGGTGATGCAATGCATTTACAACAATCACACAAACTACGGTAGAATGGCAATCTAATATCCAAAAACTGAAATGCAACAAATTTGGAATTAAAAAAAAAATCTTATGGAAAAATATACCACAAATGAATGAAATGTGAAATGGTTCATGACTCACATGAGAATGAACAGAAAATTTGCCAACAAAAAGCATATTGACAATGTGCTGAAGAAACATATTTTTAGTATGCATCCAACCATTCGTGGAGAATGTAGACCACGTTCCACAGTAATATGCTTGGAAGATTTAGTTCCATAAAAGTAAAACATTTGAATTTCAGCTTGCATATGTTGTTTCTTGTATGCACGATGGAGTAGTGGCTAGGCCGAATACCTCCCAGTTGCTGTCGGCAATGTGGACAATTCTCTGACATCGGATGTACGGGGACCAAACTGCCTATACTAGGACGTATGGGACCCCATGGTTCCAAAGCACTCCTCACAAGATCCGCCGAGGGACAGGATGGAACAACGTTCTCCATGTGCACAAAGCACATGTAGACAGGTTGAGTGAACTTCCATGAACACTCGAGGACCCTGCGAAGACTGTAGAGTTGGTTCACTGTTCCACAGCCAGGACGAAAATCACAGTGTTCGTCCTGAGTCTCAGATTCGACTTCCCGATGGACTTTCCTTCCGGCACCCCTAAATAGACCTTACCAGGGAGGCTGAGGTTTGTGATCACCCTTTAGTTGAGTCCCTTTTTGAGAATCAGTTCCCATGAATTCCATTTCTTGGGATCATTTATTATTTGCTTGACTGATGATTCTGCTTATTGATTCTGCTTACCATTTGAGTCTGTAACAATATATATTGTCTGTCTTCTTTGCACAATAAGCCTCTATTGTTTGTATCATTATTTTCAATATCCCTTGCCATTGCTGAGGAATCCTGTAGTTTCTTTTCCTCCACTTAGTAATATGCTGACACCAACCAGGGAGGGGCCACTGCTGCCTGTTTGCTGCAGAAGGTATAGAGAGATGCGTTGACCCACCAGGAGCCACAGCAACACCCGATGCACAGGCAAACGAGGTGCAGCTACAAGAGTGGATAACCAGACTTTCCTGAGTTTCACATTTGTTCTCTGACCGAGCTTTTTCTTCGTTGATACACAAGCCAAGCGATCCACTCCTGAGGGCTGTATTTTTGTAGACAGCGAATGTATGCTCGGGCATGAAATCTACAGATTGTCAGGCTGGTGCAACCCTCGTTCAGCGTATTTGGGAATTTGGCAGCAAACGCTACACCATTCTGGATGTTCATGCAGACCTCAGGTATTTTCTTTTACACACCCCTGGTCCACCTGACAATTTGGAGGCTGAAAATAGAATAAACTTTACGCCTGCAGGGAGCAAGTCTAAGGTTTGGCGCAAGTAGTATCATGCCATTCTGGTGAATTTGATTGAGGTCGACAGTTGATGAGCGATGTGCATGTGTAGTAGACGTCATTGCACACGTCATTGTCTTCATTCTCAGATACGACAACAGCGTGCATCAAAATTTCTGAATCATTGTCGAAATGTATTAATTGAATGCATTATTATGCTTACTATAATCTTCACTATTCTTTTTAAAATCCCACTCCTGGATATGGGAAACAACAGCGCTCCCCACACCCATAGCAGGATCAGACGGAATTCATCAGATGGGATGAATATTGAAACCTGGCCAAGGCAGTGTTCTACCAAGGCTTCGGGAACAAAAACAGAGGAAAACTGCAAAGAAATAGAAAAAGAAAGAAACAGAAATAACCCTGGAATATGGAAATGGTGAGGAAAACATGCCAAGCATATCTGCACTATTTCAGCTGCCGTTCTCCTTGACTTCTTTGTTGGAAAAGATTGTGCGTGACACTGAACTGTTCTTTGTAGAGGCAGTATTCACAGGCTTTGTTAATGAAGCTGCAGAATAGCCAACCAGCTTTCCAATTTGGGTGTTATAATACAGAGATTGAAGTTCAAAGAGCGCACATGTGATTGTCTGTCAGTTACTCAATCTTAATGTACTCACGACATTGCTCGCCCTCGTCATCCCCAAGCGGACAGTCTGTTCTGAAGTCACATAATTTGTCCAGTGTGATCGCAGGTCCCTCGTGACAGTGGTACTGGCCCTCAAGAGTGATGACAGGGCCCGCTGAGGAAGCTGGAAGACAAATGGAAGAAAAATAATAATTATTATGTTGGTGATTATTTTTATTGACGATAATGAACTAAATGTTCTGCTGTACAGTGCAAATTATTGTATTTTTGGTGGAGTATGTGGCTAGAGAGTCTGCCTCCGAATCAAAGGTTCTTCTGTCGAATCAAGCTTTTGCCTTGTGATTTGGCTTCCTCCCATATTTCAGAAACAAACCTTTTTGGTTAATTGAAAACTAGATTTACACTGTGAATGAGTGGTGATCAGTTCAGGGTAACTGGGTCCCAGACCAAATCAGTATGACTTGTGGGGTTCTCCAGGGGTGAATCCTTGGACCTCTGTTGTTCAATCTGTTCATGCTTCTTTCTGTTATGCAGATTACACTCAAATGTACAAGAAGTAAATATGGGCCTAGAGGGTGAATGCTGAATTTTCTCCAACCGAACTCAAACACATCTGAAATCAATGTCTGTGTCCCACACGAACAAAGGGAGAGGATTATCACCTCGAGATTATTTCTCTAAAATTTAATAATCAAGTTAGAAACCTTGGGGCAATTTATCTATCTATCTATCTATCTATCTATCTATCTATCTATCTATATTAATCCATCCATCCATCCATCCATTTTCCGATCTGCTTTATCCTCACAAGGGCCGTGGGGGGTGCTGGAGCCTATCCCAGCCGTCTTCGGGCAGTTTGCGGGGGACACCCCGAACCGGTTGCCAGCCAATCGTAGCGCACACAGAGACGAACAACCATCACACGCTCACATTCACACCTAGGGACAATTTAGAGTCTTCAATCAGCCTGCCATGCATGTTTTTGGAATGTGGGAGGAAACCGGAGTACCCGCAGAAAACCCACGCAGGCCCGGGGAGAACATGCAAACTCCACACAGGAAGGCTGGAGCCGGGATTGATTCCACGACCTCTGTACTGTGAGGTCGACGTGCGAACCACTGGACAACAACTATATGTATGTATATACACACACACACACACACTTCAGTTTTGTTGCAGAAGTACATCAGTCAGTGACACGGGCTAATTTATGTCTGGGCTGCAAAGCCTGTGTGACATCCTCATGCTGCTGAGTACCAAGAAAAATAACTTGCCCAGGTCTGCATAAGAATCTGTACAGATAATGGTTTGATGCCATCGTTTTGAACAATGCAGTTGTACTGCAGTGACATTTGCATATCTATGGAAATCAGAGTGGTGATATTTCTGATATTCCCAGACTGTGGCTGTGGACACACACCCACACCGACCCTAAGAGAATGATCATAGAAAAGAAAACGAAAAAAGAAAAGTAAAAAAATAAAGAGAGTCAGATTCTGCTCATGATTGTCTTGTTTGTTTGTTTGTTTGTTTGTTTGTTTATTGAACATAAAACATATACAGTAATAATTTGACAGAAAATAAGGTAAATAAAATAGTAAAGAGGAAAGAGAAATTAGTCATCATTCAACACAGTTATTATGTTCAAGGGAGTAGGAAGAAGTAAAGAACTTATCTAGTCCTACCCCGTGTTGTATGTTTATATCTATTGAATCATTTTTATATCAATCAGAAAAGAAACAAAGTAAGATCAAGTAAATCTTGTCTTGATTTACACCCCTTTCTAGTGTAGATAACAGATTTTAATCATTAGCAATTGGTTGGCTTGCCAAAGCTTGGCTTTTATCTGTTATATGCACTTGTACATGCATTTGTTTTCTATGAAAGCCAAAGAGAAAGTTGAAAGACTAACAACATCACTTGTTGTTTGCTGAGGGATAATCCTGTGCCATTTGTAGCTTCTGAGCTTATTAGACTGGCAGTGAAATCGTTCAATGCAAGAGGCGATGTTTTGATGGTTGGTTGTTTTAAATTAAATCGTGACCTTACTGACTGCCCAAAGACAGCTGGGATATGGTCGAGCACACGGGTGCACCCTGTCTTCCGTGTGACAGGCGGAGATACTGTCCACGACACCATGCCCGACTCGCCAAAGCACCAGCAATGCGATCAGTTAGGTGGGTTGACGGCCCTGATATGAAAGACCAATGAGTTATCTGTTTCCATATTGTCGTGGTTATCAAATTCGTCTTACACACGAAAGGTCCCCAGTTCGAAACTGGGTAGAAACAATCTCTCCTCCATTTTGGATTTGCTGTGAAAAACTGCACCACCAAAATCATAACATTCTCAAAAACCAAATCCCCATCAGGGAATCCAACCTCGGTCTTCTGCATGACAGGCGGAGATACTGTCCACTATTCTAACAAGGAACACCTACTTCCAGCAAGCTCTAACCGCCGAAGCACCGGCAATGCTATCAGTTAGGGGGGTTGACAGCCCTGATATGAAAAACCACATTTTCTGTTTCCATAGTGTAGTGCTTATCACATTTGTCTCACACACGAAAGGTCCCCAGTTTGAAACTGGGTGGAAAGAATCCCTGTTTGTTTTTTTTGTTTTTTTGCGATGAAAAACTGCATCAACAAAATAATAAAATTCACAAACAATCAACTGCCCGTCAGGGATTTGAACCCTGGTCTTCCGTGTGACAGGCGGATATACTGTCCACTATACTAACGAAAAATGCCTACTTTCAAGAATCTCTACCCACCAAAGCACCGTCAATGCTATCAATTAGGCGGGTAGACAGCCCTGATTTGAAAGACTGTGGTGGTATCTGTTTCTACAGTGCAGTGGTTCTCACGTTCATCTCACATACGCAAGGTCCCCACTTCAAAACTGAGTGGAAACAATCCCAAGTCTTTTTTTAATTGCGATGAAAAACTGCAGCACCAAAATAATAATATTCATAAACAACCACCCCCCCCCATCAGGGAATTGAACCCTTCGTGTCTTCGTGTAACAGGCGGAGATACTGTCCGCATACTTTTGTTGGTTGTTCCCCATCTCAGCGTGGTTTCTAGTCCAACGGCTACACCGTTGTAGTACTGCATGTTCTTGCTTCTCAATTCGGATCTCCATATGACACTCACCTCTCACTTCACCCTCCCAGTAATAGGAGTCACCTTTGCTTCTCATGTCAAGCCAAAAACGGCACCTCTCTCTCTCTCGGTCTCACTCTCACTCTCGCTCTCTCTTCTGCTTGAGGATTCTTCTTACTCATTCTTAGCTTGCCTCTGTCACATAGTGCTTGATCAGTCGGGGTTTATTTAGTCTTTTAATAAGTGGTAGTGTGGTTTTAGACCTGCTCTACTGTTTGTGTAAAGTCCCTATGACAGCTTCTGTTATGAGTTCATGCTATCCATCGAAACATGCATACATTCCATGAAACATTTATGTTTAATCGGACTACGGGCATGCTGCAGCCTGTCCCAGTTGTCTTCGGGTGAGAGGCAAGGTACACTCTGAATATATAAACATGAATTGAAGTGAATTGAAAACTTGACACGGAAAGCACAATGAGTTTTATTTCTCGAGCAGGTGAGGAAAGTTTTCATCTCAAAAAATTAAATAAATAAATACTCCATATGGAAGGCGGGATATTATTCTTTTGTACCAAGTTGAGATATCATGCTTGATATTCAGTCTCATGTGTCCTTTTTGAAACTCTAAATTTAACGGACCCATGTTATCCACGTTTGGTATGGTTTGCTGTGGGTATTGCAGATGTCTGCAACGTTCTAAAAACATGCATATTAGGTTAAATGCGGGATCTAAATTGCTAATACTGTAAATGTGAATAGGAATACTGTGTTTTGTGTGTTTTGCTTGTGAGTGACTGGTGACCAATCCAGGGTATATGTACCGCTCACCCAAAGTCAGCTGGGATGGAATGAGGACAAGGGAATATGAAATGGGTAGATGGATCATTTTTATCATTCATGTCATACTGAATTCTGCCATACGTGTCAAGAAATGAATGGCCGACATTTTTAGAAACTTTGAAGCACAACTTATCATCTAAGTGACTTTTTTTCCCCCAACTTCTAAATCATAAAAAACACACACACTTGCCTGAATAAATGACTTAAGTAATGTCAAAGCAGCGACGCACAATGCAGCTCAGTTTTAAAGGGTGAAATGCTTTGAAGAGTACAAACAGCAATGTGCGGTGACATTTGTCGGCAAAAATAGACATAGCAAGCCCAGGACAAGGCAAATGTACCATTTCAAATAAATGAGGTGATGTTTGTTTGTGACCGCACGGGTTTATGGGTCTGGATGCAGTCTTGCAATGGGAATTCATTCAAGGCATGCATTATGCATTCACGGGCTTCCTTTCAACTTAGTGCAAGCATGATACTGTAGTTCATCACAAAAAGGAAAAAAAATATATCCTCAAAACTTAGGGCGAGCCATGTAAATCCATCTCTTTCTATTAGCTCAGTGACAGTTGGATAAGCACTCAAAAGTGGCTTTGTCACTCAGCTTTGAGCTTACAGAGAAAGTACGTTTGGCTAGAATGGGCCGCTGGAATCCTGACCGAACACAGTCCTTAAATCACACTTACAGATTGTGTGAGGAATCAGGTCAGTTGGGGATAAATTGTTTGGCGAACTTTGAGTGTTTTCTTCGCGATGTGTTCATTGGGTTGGTTTCACAGTGTGAAGTAAATGAGGAAACACCAGGAGAGGTAACTTAAGGGCACGAAAGCATCTGCTCAGGTACAGCTACATACACAACAAATACGGTAGGCCTTTTACTGAAAAACAATTTATTTATTAAACATGATCTTGAAGCGCTACTGTCTGCAAGTACATTTGCAAGTGACCACGTTTTCATGAGTTTCTATGGTGACACTGTAGGGATCAGTACTTTCACTGGCAAAGCCGGAAAAAAAACCCCATTAAGGTATGTGCAGTGAAAAAACACAAAAATACCTAAAATGTGAAGCGATGACAATCAAGATTCATTATTATTTATTTAATTTATACTTTTAACTCGTACAGCCCGTCAGCTTTTCACTCCCTACGAACAGGCATGCATGCTCGCACACGCTCACGCATAAGTGCACACTGGCTTGGCATGACTGAGCACAGT